TATTAAATTTTTAGCGTTTCTGATGCGGCGTTTATTCAAGGGCGGCGTTCATTCGAGGGGGGCGTTTATTTCGAAATAATTTTTTGTGAGTCACTGACAACAGTTAATGTCGATCGTTGGTAAATATTATGTAATTGAAAGGTTCCAATGTCTCTCTTATTTTGCTGAGAAAAAAAAGGGCAATGTCTGGAAGGTGTAAATTGCCAAGTTATACCGAATTTTTTCTTATTATCCTCAAGCAAACGCCGTATTCTTCCGATGAGGTGCGGTGTTTATTCGAGGGCGGCGTTTAATCGAATAAATACGGTAAACAATTTCTAGTGATAATTTCCCAAGCTAGTTTTAGCTGCGGTAAAAGTAACTTTGCACTCAGCCTGAATTTCCCGATTCCTCTCTGCCGAGACACCAAACATTAACGTAAAAAGTAACGGCTTAACTCGAGACATCTGAAACTGCATCTGAAAGCGACCTTTTCACCAATTTTCGTTAAAAATTAAGGTCAATTAATACAAGCGTTCATTTTCCATCTGACCTCTTTTGGAAAAACTACCCCGGTTTTAATCTACAAAACCTTAGGAGCCTTCAACATTTTCTATAGATCTTTCTTTTCTCTTTTTTGGTCTTTAACAGAAAATGAAATTTTTATTTGTAAACAACTGGACGAATAAAAAAAGTAAAGATACGGTAGTTAGCTTAACGTGATTGCAGCTTCACTTTGAAAGGTCGAGTTTTCGCTCCGTAAAATGCTTTCATGCACTGAAACCTATTTTTCTGCTTCTGAGGCACACGGGAGATTGTTATTGTTTAATTACTTAGTTTTGCTCACAAACCTTAATAAATTGTTGCACTCTTGCCCCTGGTGTTTGCGATTTGTTTTCCTCAATCTACGTTGCGCCAAAAAGTCACTGCAGGCTTTTTCCTGTTGGGGCCGAGATTTTGTTTTATACACACCTTAAAGTACTTTCTTGCTATTGCTCCTTACAAGAGGAAAAATGTATTTGGCAGCTGAATATTTCTTTTATTTTCAACAAAGTGATATATTCACTGCATTTTAAAATCGCAGAGTAATAATGGCACCTGTCGCATGAATTGCTAACTTTCAATCATGGTGTTCGTGAATAATTCAGGAACCGCAAGCTTCGTTAACACCTCCTTTGGTATCAATTGGTTCGTTTAGTACTAAAAGGGAAAATCATTTAGTATATTATATTGTTCACGTCAACATACCCTACAAAAGAACTAAAGTTTCTTAACCGTAGCATAAAAACATGTAAGGTCATATTAATAACGCTCGGTGTGCCATTATGTTATTCAGTTATATATCACATACATTTAGAAATGAGTATATGAGACGATAAATGACGATTTATACGTGTTCATGATATGAAAGGTGCAGCAAAATATGATCTCTCGTTGGACTCAGCCCGCAACAGAAAAAAAGGAGAACGTCCGAAAATGAAAACTCCTTTGCCCTTGCCTTCGGAAAACGCCACAAACTCTCAGGCTCTTTAACGAGTCACGTATGATATGATGACTCATATTTTTCATGTTTGATATTGCATATTTGTGCTATTGTGCAATTGATTGACGTTGGTTGTTTAAGAGACTTTCAATTTAAAGTTACAGAGATTTGCATTTTTGTTTATTGTAATCAGGCAGGTTTTCTTGTGTTGTCGCATTGTCGATTCGTGGCGCAATATTCCCAAACCTTTTTTTTCGGCTTTTTAGTGTGCTCGTAAAAGCGAGAATGGACATATCATTTTGGGCGATAAAATGCTCTCTTGCCAAAACTAGCAGCTTGGTCAACGTACGCGTGAAAAAAATTTGGTCATGTAAGTATATTACAAGCGGTTCGGTTCTCCTGCCATTATATTCGGTGCCTTTTTGTCGTTATACGAGAGGCCTTGTCCAGTTCAAGCAGTAACTGATGCCGTCCTCGTTGATTTTCGCAGGTCGAAAACAGCAGAATCTGATAAACTAGATATGCCTTTTTTAAGGGTTTGTTTTTTTATCGTTTGTCTCACCATGTTACTGATAATCGTGACGTTTCGACAGCATCAGTACTAGAGTTCTTCATCAGGCGATGACCAGCGTCGATTTACTAATTAGGATTACCGTATTTATTCGAATAAGCGCCCAACCTCGAATTAGCGCCCACCTCGAATAAGCGCCCATCCTAAAGGCAGAAAAAGTTAATAAGCGCCCAGCCTCGAATAAGCGCCCACCCCACCTCACCCCCCCCAAAATTGAATAAGTACTAATAAGAAACTTCCCCGGAGACGGAGTTTTCTTCAAAGTATTTTACAGGAACCTTGCCTTGTTACATCTTCGAGTTTTGTCATTACCATTTATTGTTTTGTTGCAATACTACACTTGCTGAAAATGGTGAAAATTTAATAAGCGCCCAGCCTCGAGTAAGCGCCCACTCTCAAGGTCCAAAAATTTAATAAGCGCCCAGAGCGGTTAATCGAATAAATACAGTATATTAGTACCTCTCTATGTGTTTGCTAGGAATTTGTGTATGACGAGCCTCACGCGTGGTTGGTGAGTTTCAGTCCGAAGCATTGTTGGCATTGTTAGAGGACGAAACTGTTCCCTTAAATATGCCTTCAGGCCCTCACTAAATTGAAGCAGGGGTCATTTCCTTCATACATTTAGCGAGATGATATTAAAAGGGTTTTAAGGGATTGTCCCTAACTTGCGATGTGATGTGAAGGGAGAGGCTCCTTAAAAATTGTCTCCATCCATATAGGTTTCTCTGTTGCTCGACGCGCCATTCTCTTGTCGATCTATTTGTTTGTTGTCTGTTTGTTTGTTTTTAATTTGGCAATAAGTAAAGATGTGATCGTAATCCGTTATAAATGCTAATCATTGAAAAGGAAAAAAATATGTAAATCATGATTCCCCATTGGAACTTATCAATACAATGAATTTCATAAATTGAAAATAAAATAAAAGCCAACTTTATTCGTCTATCAGCAAAAACGGCCCCAAATGGTTTTTGAAATTTCTTAACGTTATCGTAATTTAAACAACCTTTGGAGCTCGCTTTTTTAATGAATGAGATCTAAACATTTTTAACTGAATGGTAGCGTTATTTCCATCTCAGGTGTTAAGGCCTGGGTTCAAGAGTTTTGGATTTTCAGGCTATTTATAGATTTTTGTTCTTTCTGCTGTGTCTGTTCCACTTATTTCCAGAAATGCAACACAAATCTGAGACTTAATGCAGGGCTGTCAATGAATAATAAATAGCAGGTGGCTTTGGAACTCGCACCAAGGGCACTAGTCACTTGAATTGAGGGCCGAGGCATCTAGGGACATTTTGAAGTTTAAGAGAGTCTCGGAAATGCCATTTCCGGGGATTTTCAAGCGGTATTTTCCACCGCGGACGCCATGTTGCTTCGTCAGAATACATGCAAGACTGGGAACAATGCCGTCGAAATGTCCCAGGCGTCCACGACATCGCACGGTTCGAACGTTTCACAGATCATGGGCGCAATTCATTCAGCGAAAATTTCCGAAATTTCGGTCCAAAACTCAATGGATCGGTTCGGTCCAACCGGAAAAGTTTCGAAAAAACTGGTCCACCTTTTGAGGTGGACCACTTTTCCCGGTCGGACCGGTTGGAAAATTTGGATGAATGGACCGCGCCCCTAAACTGGGAAACATATGCTTTCCAAATTTAATTCGATAGTGCTTATTTTTTGCTACTTAGCAGTTATGGTAGAAGGAGATGAAAGTAGCCGGTTAAGGACGGCTAACTAGCCGGGAGTTTTGGCCGGCTACCGGCAATTATTGACAATCCTGAGCGTTAATGTAGACAGAATTGCTTCCGTTTAAGTGAGGATAGGGACTAAAGGACAATTAATTCGTGAAGTATATATTTGGAGAAGCATAAATCTCAATAACTTGCAGTCTTGCAATCCTGGACATATCTCGTCTCCCTATCTAAAAAACCGGAAAGAGCTAGTAGACCTTGTAAAAAATGTAAACATAGACTGAAAAGCTAAAGCGATGTCAATCTCGTACTCAGATCTCCCACGATCACTTTTCACCTTAAGACAGGGCGAGATCTGGGTAACAAGATTAAAGCGATGTAACACTTATTCCAATCGGTGGGATCAAGGGCATTTGTAGCTATGTAAATGCTTCTGGAGAAAATTCGGAGTAAAAGTGATTAAATATTATAATAGTAAAAGCAAGATAATTCTTATAATTTTTTTTATGAAGTCTGTGATATAAGCGTAGGCTCTATAGCTTGTATTATTTCGCAAATTTCTTGGTTATTTAACTTCAAGGTGTATGAGATTCTCTTACAAGCCCTTTACTTGTCGTTACACAGAAAATCAAAAGCAGGTAGCTAGTTGACTCGTTCATACTGTAAATCAGGAATAAACTACCACAACGTATAATTGGTAAAACATCTTGATTCGCTGTGAAGAAAACTCAGACTAAAACTGGGTACCAGTAAACGGTATACGAAACTGAATTTATAAAATTGATATGGTATAACTAATATTTTCAGTCTCTCTTAATTGCGTTTAACATTTTAAACAACTTTAGATATTCAACAACCTGGAAATGAACGAAACGTTTCTTGTTTTTGCATAACGCCACAACACCAGTACAATCTCTAGCGCGCCAAAAGCATTTTGGAAACTACAAAAACTAGAGTTAAACATTAAAGTTAAGCCTGTCGAAATTTTCGTCAAAACTTCAGCTGATTTCATACGTTTTAAGCGTTTTAAATGATAGCGCACGAGGACAGTTGAAGAGTTGATAGTAGCCTACGTAGCTGGCAGATTTAACGGGGGAGTGATGTTATGTTTTGGGGGCGGAGCTGCGAGAAGTAAAATCCCTTGCGGCTACCCCGCCAGGAAAGTACCCCTCGCATAAAAATTCCGCCAGCCACGTAGGCTTAGTTGATAGCATCTTCAAATCTCTTCATCTGTAATTAAATATTATTTACATTTTGAGTTTCTTATGTTTGTGGAACTTAATTAGTTCCCTGTAATTCGCTCTAGCAGATTAGGAGACAACAGTTCCGTCGATGTTTCGTGCCCATTCTCTCGCTTTTCTTGACACTTGCACTTGCACTGATGAATGATGGGATACCTGAACTTCACCCATCGGCAGGAAACACGCTCGGAATCAGTCCCTCTCCTTGCTTTTTTCCCGCTGCGTTTTTTGCAGTTCCAGCGTAATAAGTAAACAGGAGCAAGTTCCGAGGCAGCACATGACATTCCCAAAGGCCAGGAACATTGCTTGTTTACACATCGGCCCAACTAGAAGATAAATATTAAATAAATAAAATTAATTTGGGACCTAACAACGCTTGCCATTTTGCTTCTACGTATGAACTTGAGCATTCATCGAGGATCATTCGTGTTGGGATAAATTTACGTAGTAAGTGTTTTAAAAAATATTGTGCAAAACATCTAAGGTCGCCAGACTGCTGAACGGTTATTCTGTCTTGGAGGCTTATGTTTGACACACCTCACCAACAAAAAGTCATAAAATCTTCAGAAAGATGCTCTTATTCAAAGTTTGGAGGGTGCCAATCTCTGGCTGATATTTTGCGTAGTCGTAAAGTCACAAACTCGTCACTCCTGTTACTATATAAATCAGAAACAAAAACTAAATGCGACATTCACTTCTAAGTACTATCTCAGTGCTATTTGTCCCAACCAACGTTGAAGACTGCCGCGAGTAAAGTGAGGTTGATTAAGAAGACCACATTAACGAATTGTGTCAGTTGGTAACAAGCGTTACTATTTTCACTAAACTTTAAGTCGACACCTTTATTGCGACTTTCATCAATACGTCTTCTGAAAATAATCCCTTTCTCCTTAGCTTATAGATTTAAGACATGAATTAAAAAGCAGGAGCCTTATGAAGGAAACGATTTAATTATTAAAAGTTAATAAAAATAAGGACATAAATGAAGTTGTAGCGGGTTTAAAGTTTTTCCTAAGTTCATCGGGGACATTGTAGTGATTTAGTTTTCAAACGCGGAATTATAATTTATGTTGACTGGAATAGGATAAAATATAAAAATTTTGAAGAATGTATAATGGATATGAACATACCATTACTCCTCTTTACCCCCTGAAAGTTGATAAGTTTTTGGTTATACTTTAATGTCTTTTTTAACAGAAGCTAATTTTCGTATAGGCAGGTAGTATTTTAAAATCGCGAACGTCCTTGAATTTCGTTGAATGGAATGTTCCTGCCAAAGCTATTTTTGTAGTTTAATATATCACTGCTAAATGTAGATGTTATTACCCGATTATAGCTTCTTAGTGTTGTGTAGATCTGTTTTTGCAACCTCCTGCCTGTGTAGGTGAATGAATTTCGTTAATCTAAGCTTGACAAGCGGTAAAGTACTGAAATATTTTTAATCCCGTTGTTCTTCACTTCTGAATACTTGGCCCGCTTTCACTTGACTTCACTAAGCCAGTTGAAAGAAACGACACGTGTAAGTTTAAGAATGCTTTCTTTGTTGGTAAAACCAAAAAGAGGGGCTCGTGTCAGCTAAGCTGGATTAAAGACAGAAAAAATTGCCCCATCCTTAATCTAATGTTATTTCAGTTCGAAAAACGGACGTGCTACCTCTAAAGATTCAACAGTTTCTTTGATGACGTGTTAACGATTATCTACCATTACTCTTCGCCTTAAACCTTAATTTTTCATGTGAGATTATGGCCTTTAAAACCTGGCCGAAACATTCAAAAACGAATCAAAATACCTGTTCACATTCCGTTAAGGTCTTGACGAAAACCGTGTTGCCCGAACATTTCCTCCCTTTTCATAATGTTCAACTGGTTGTACTTGAGGACATCGTCACTTACAAAAAACTTCTATCTCCTCTCTTTCTTTCTTATACTTCTTTTTCAACTAACTTTTGCTAAATTGCGATCTAAAGTTTAGACTGTAGGAGATGATGGTCGTTTTCTTTTGAGAGCGTTTTTTTTAAAGAATGAAGATTTCTTTTGAAAACGAAGGCTTGTGACTGTAAGTACTCAGCCACTGTGACTGATGCTGCTGGCCGGAATGAAGCCAAAAATCAATACATTTCAGTTTGGTCTGTATCCCAAATTAATTGAATTTCAGAAATATTCCTAAACTCTGAACAGATATTAACGAAATTCAACCGTGTGTACGCAGAGCTAATTTAACATCTCTTTAATGGTGGTCCTAGGCGGGGAAATCCTCTTATATTCAAAGGGTTAAATAAATAAATGTCCAGATTTCAGGATCTTTATCCTAGTTTCCAATAAGTCATCTTTTAAGGAATCAAACTCTTCTGAATTTTACTACACCGTTATCTTTTGGTTTAGACTAAAGTGCGTAAACCCCTGCTTCCACGTACTTCTCTATTAGTGCAGCGAAATCTGCCTTAATAATTTTTAGTACGCACTGAGTTTCTTGCCTAAAAATTTAAATGAAAGAAAGCAGAGACCAATATTCTTAAAGAGAGAGTAATCAAGAGTGCATAGAGAGAATAGCGTTTGGCGCAGTTCAGCTGACGAACATCAGTGAACTTGTGAACGTGTTCTGCACAAACGTTGTCCCAATCGTATTTTCCGGTTTCCAGGGGATAAATCGATGTAAGTAGAGCACTCTACCTCTCATCAACAATAAAATCTCAACTGTTTTTGCAATCTGTTCTTACTTGATTGCTTATCCAATTTTTAGCTATTGATCTGAACTTCCCGGCCGCTTCCGAATATTTCTGTTGGCTGGAGTTTAGATCCGTTAAATCCATTATCCAGAGGCTCTTGTTGTATCAGTTTCACAATGAGGCAACTAAGCCGCGTAGCGCGCGAACTAAGGGCCTTCGTCACTAAGTAACCAAAGTCATTTGCATTCCTGAGCTTGGAATTTGAACCGAAGAACTCAATAAATCTTTCCATTTTCATTATTTGGTGGTCAAACTTAAAATCACTTTCCCACTCGTGTAAAAAATACATTCACTTTGCAAGATTACTTGTCAAATTAATGAGTTCAATAAGGGGTTACGATCATGACCTACAAATCCTGAATAATTCAACCGCAAAAGGACCTACTTGGTATGCCGGCACGCAAAGTTTAACAAGCTTTGCGTTGAGGACGCGTGTGAACTTGTTGTTTTGATTTCCTGATGGATTGTTTTTATATTACGGTTACTTAAGGCGGTTGCTGTGTGCAATGCGTTTTCAGGGAGGAATCTTGCGTCAAATATTCTGCCAAGGGAAACGTTAAAAGTAACCTATTCTTAATTATTACGGCGTATCATGAGTACTTTAATAGCTTTAAATAACTCTAGCTCTAGTTTATACAAACATTCCTCAAGTTACGTCATAATTGCATATTTTATTCATCTATTTATTTATTTATTTATTTAAAGATTTTTTGCCTAATTGAAATAAATTGTAACCAGTAATTGCATGAATTTCACAGTCCTTTGGCCGAAAGTTCGGCCATTTTTAGATTAGGAAACCTGAGTTGTGTTTCTCTCGTTTGGGTTTCGATATAGTTTGCAAAGAGGTTAACCATAGCATCGTCAAAAAGCGCTTAAGTCACACCCCCCTAAAAGCCTATTAAGGGAGTGCATGAGGATTTTCGCCTTTGCATGGACTACATACATCGTAACATGCCCTTAACTTTATTTAAACATAAAAATAGAGCAATATGACAGGCGCTCCACGGTATCTTTCTAAGAGGGGATATAGCTAATAAGCCAATGATTTCATGCAGAGTCAAGTAACAATTTTCATGTAACCATATATAGACGCGTGCATGCAAATAATTCGTTATACCCGCGGATCGTTGGTTTATACTTTGAATTGAACAACAGTTCAGTGACACAACAGCAACAAATTCTGCCCTCTTGTTATCAGTCATGTTAGAAACACGTTGAGAAAACAGATCAACATGAAAGAAAAAGGCAGTGCATTGTGCATTGCATGTGCATTGCTTAGTCATGCCTTCATAGGCACTTGTCAGACCCGCGAGACCGATGACAGAATCCCAAATCACCTGAGTTCTCTCTACCTTATCAACTCACTTGATAAAACTATATCCTTGCGTGTCAGAGCGCAGACTATATACTCTCTCCCTCTGTATAGTATGCTTAAAAGACCTTTTTCTTATTTGTATTTTTCAATATAAATTAGATGTGATATTACCAAAGTTTTATTCTAAATGAATCGCGCTCTTTTCATAGAGGATAGTTTGCAGCCATTTGAATAAGATTGGAGAAATAAACCTGAATGCAATGCAAAGAAATGTTCTATCGCTTGTGATGATATAAGTGGCGTCATGATTTTCCAACTTTCGAGTCATTGCCTTTGCTTCTCAATTTATGACTGAATTGAAAGCTGCTAAGGAGAAAGAACGGTGTGTGACGTTGGGAGTACCAAGATTAGCAACTCTGACTTTTTCAACTTAACAAATGATTCACCGCACTGACTATTGCGACCTATTGCAGTTCGTTTACCAAGATCCATCGTCGGAGACCCAGGGGCAGCTAGTCGGGACGATAGAATGTTCGATCTTATAGTAAACTTTCACTGCGAACATTCTATCCAATGGCGGATCTAGGGGAGGGGCTAATTAGACCAAACTGAGGCACGAAGGGCAGAAGAAATTTTGTTTTGAGACCGGGCATCCGCCTTATCTCAGGGTCTGGATGACCGCCCCCCCCCCTCCCCTTATCTGAAGGTCTGGATTCGCCAATGCTATCGTCCCGACCAGCTGCCCCTGCCGTGGGTCTCCAAGGATGCCCAAGATCCTGTTCCACATACAACGTAGTCAGTCTGCCTGTTGACTCTGCGGATTCTCTTGAAGGTGTGGCCATTTAAAAAATATTAAGTTACTCTGGAAACGGATCTTGAAGAAACACTGTTCTTGATAATCATGTTACCTAATAATTAGACTCTCAATTTTGACTCCTCCGTGGTGAAAGGCCTCTTAGAACTGACTAATTACTGGGGTCCTGTTGCGCTAGTTTGTTTTCTTTTACCAAGAACGAGACCAAACTCGGTTTAATACGCTTTGTTTAATCGCGAATTTGCGTATTCTGGAAGTAGAAATCAGCAACTGAGAATAAGTAAAAAATTTTAGCTTTCAGCAACTGAACAGCTGACAAATGAAGGTTTTTTTGAACTGACGATGGCTGAAAAGCGGGCTGAAATTCTAACTGATTGCTCGGAAATCGACGAAAATCTATCTGTAACTGAGATCATAATTAGCCACACACCTTCATCTACATATTTGTTCACATATGGGGTACGTGTTTCATAGCTATCCGAGGTCGATATGTCAAAGTATATATAAAAAAAAAATGCTCTTACCGATATCCATCGAGGCCAATAACAGAATCCCAAATCTTTCCAAGTGTATTCAACAGGACAGTCTGATTTCTGGATGAGCCATTTCATCATATATCTCTCTATAAACGGGGATGGCTTGCCCATTTTTGATGAGGTCTCATTTCTGATGATTTGCCTGAGTAAATTCTTTTCAGACGTGCTGATGCCACGCAACGAAACTTGTCTCACAAATGTGTCCGATGAGTGCAAGGGCTCCATTATGGACAAATATCGCTCGTCAATGCTTCCCCCAAGACGTCTACGAAGTTTCCTCTCGTTTAAATCTTTTTTACTCGGTTGCTGAAGTACATCGCCACAGTCAATAGTTCTGGGTTGAATTTTTTCCATCGCCGGGTCAATAGGTAGATCGTTGGTCTTTAAGGACTTCAAAGCCAAATGAGAATAACATTGTGAAATTGTCACCTGATTCAGCAACAAGGCTGCTAAAACAACCAGAATTGATGACCAAGACTGTATCTGCTGCATGGCGTATGTTCACTCAACTGAGCTACTTTACAAGTCTGCCGCGCTTTTTATAGCCGAGTAATGTTGTCTTTACTACAGGCTACCCCCTGAACGCTTCAAAACGACTCAGAAGTAAAAACAATTGTCGCGACGTGCGGCGTAAACCTGAATTAGCCACTTTCTCTCATTACACAAGCCTGTCGGCCAATGTTGAGATATATTGACCTAGGGTTAAATACAATTCTTGGCACTGCCGCGGCATGTTACAGGTTAACACGTCAGTCGGTGCTTTGGCCTAACTTCAAAATCCGTTGTTAACAAGGTTGAGAACTACAACGTTACACCACTACGTTTTAGAGTTGAAACAATTAGAGAAAGACCTCAACTTATTCTACTAAGATCACTTTGTTTCGTAGACACGGCGCTGCAAGCCCTCAGGCATGGCTGTGTGCTTTGTAAATAGCCCCTATCATAATATCAGACGTCGAATAAACTTAACAGAAATGCGATTATATTTACCCTCATGAAAAATAGATCTCTGTCGTCCTTTTTTAACCATGAACATTTTGCATCATATAGTCTGTGTCAGAGAGCTGCATAATTAAACCTCAAAATGATACAATCTCAGTAAGCCGGGTTGATAATCGTGCATGCCGAGGTGTGAGAAATTTTTTACGGCAACTCCCTTTAATTAATTCTTCGTCTTACAGGTTCACAACTTTCTTAGAAGTCCCCGTGGTATCAATGATGTGTGAGTTAACCGTAACATAATACAAGAGATTCAATAATCAGTGAAAGCTTGTATTGTCTCTTTCTGCTTTCAGTCAGACAAAAATTATCCCTTTTAGACTTCAATTAACTGCACTGAAGACGACACAAACGATTTACCCACGCAGAGCTTTCAGTAGCAGGAAGTCAGTGATTTCTGTCAACTAATATGTACTAATACAGACTTAAAGCTATTGAGCGGTCAGGCTCACTTCTCTTTTGCCAACAGATTAACACATTTGCAGTACACATAACCAATCAATGTATGCGAATAAGCGAAAACAACGAAATCCTTTTTCTCTTCAGTTGTCTAGAAAAGGGAACTGTTCAATTTTTGTGCTTTCTATTTTTTTAAAAAAAACTGAGCCTTCCTTAACTCTACAGAAAGTTTGTTGGCAACTATTGCAATAAAAATGTCAGAAAAAAATATTTTCACTCTCTCTCGATCGACAGAAATCACTGAGACAGGACGAGAAACGTTACACTGTTCTGTTAATGGTTTGATATCATAGGGGATGAAACCGCGAATCCCTTCTAATCACTTTGATATCCAATTAATACATGGCCAAGTTAGCATCGTTTCGTGATGAAAACATTGGCCGATTATTCATACACTTCAACAAACCGGATCAATGACTCGTTTCACGGAACCAAGGTCTGCGTCTCAATGTGTCTTTATGGCTGAGAAATAAGAGTTTAAAAAGGGAGATCGGCAACTTTTGAAAACTAGCTTGTATCTCTAGCTGGCGAATACACGAAACTTGTTTCGACAGGTTATCTAAAGGCTTGCCGGTTTCCATATATCAAACTGAACAGTCTCACTAGGGGTACATTACGCAACATTCCTTATCTACTATATTGAAGTTCGCAGAGGAAATAGAAGAATATGTATAAGCCACGATTACCCCTGAGGGTTATAGCATTGAGGGGTTAAACACTCATTTAAATCATTTAAACAAGTTCCCTTTCTTGGTGTCATATCAACTCTCCTTATACTGAAATACTAAATATAGTTTACATTCCCCTTAGTCAGACCTTTTCGAACCATTATTGTGTACTAGAAAAAAATTCTAAGCTGTGAGTAATTCTACAAGAACTGATTTGACTTTATATAGTCTTAGTTTGCAACATAACAACAGGTGTAGCTACTAAGGTGTCTGATGCGATTCGCCCGTAAGGAAGGATCTTTCTGTTTCCTTCTTTAATAATTACTTTGAACTATCACAGCGTTTCCGGTTTGTTTAAAATCTTAGGCCTCTCAAGGGCTGAAAGATAAAATTAGAGTCAACTCAAATGAGAAATCCCTGTCTTTTTCCTCTCCTACCCTCTTAAGGCGCTTGAAATCTCTCTCATATTCTCGTCGACAAGGTGATTTATACTACACACGCTTCTAGGGTTTAAAAACCGTAGCGCAATTCTAGCTATTCAGTACATTAACGAAACAAATATCAGTGAGATCGTAACTGATCCCGTAACACAAATTGCGGCCATGTTCAATGAGAGAGTTGTAACTGAGAAATCAAACCGTTGTAAGTGTCCCGCTGAATTGTCGCTGCAGATAGCGAACGATGGACGAGGACGCCCACGCACGAGAGACATGCAAGCTGCAGTAGATAATCGCGGCCAAAATGAGAAAAGTAGAGACAAGATCGACTGAGGAGGATTGTAACCGATAAATGGAGATGTAGAACGTTTCCCTTAGTCTTAAATACGACGTATGCCCGAGGAGAAAATAAATTCAAGTCTGAGTGACTAAAATTCAACATAAAGGCACCAGGAATTTCCCCCAAAATCGCGCAGTCGCAGTAACGATGGCGGGTGGTCTGTTGGGCGATTATTCGGGCAGTGACGTCGGGTATTAGCCATTGTAGGTTATCCGCATCTACCTTGATAATCTACACATTTACAATGCAAATACGTATGATGATTTTTTTTCTTCAGTCTACAACCTCTGATTGTTGTTAAGTAATTCAAAGGGAATTGGCAGTAAAAACACCATTAATAACTTGGATTGACATTTATCCCTAGTCTCGGTTTAGCGACCGTTAGCGTCAACAGGCTTTCGAAGAGCTGGTTTCTGTTAGCAAAGAGAAAATCTAAACAATGGATCACATCTCTTAAAAGAAAAAAATGCGAATTTTTGCACTATGAATATAGACCCAATACATAGCAAACACGGAAACACACAAACTAACAAAACTAAAATTTCGTTTATTTCAAAATCACTTCTGCTCTTCTACAAAACGCTAAACAACCTGTTCATGTGTTGCGTTTGTTTGGGAATAGTTGCGTTTAAGTTAGTATGATGAAAGAAAGGCGTGTTGATGTTTCTACACCCGCCTTGCCTGCAGTAAGGAGTGAAGACCCACAAACTTCTCAGTATATTGTCCTTCAAGACACTTGGTAGCACGCCAGTACAGCTCTCCTGTGGTACTTGCCTTGTTATCAGGGTGATCAAGCTCAAAACGAATATAGTCCAACCATAGATCTGTTGAAAGAAAATGTAACGCACCCAGTATTAGACAATTAACTCCCAGAGGTAACAAACTTGAATTTATGCTCCACCGCCCGCCCACCCCCACCCCCCCAAAACAACACCACCACCAGCAACAAAAACCAGTGCATTAAAAATCTTTAGAAGCCGCAGAAAAAAAATCAGTGCCAAGTAAAAATACAGCTAAAGGGATTTCAATTGAATGGTCAAAAAATAGCACTTCACCCAAACTAGAAACTTCTTTGGAACAACTTTTTATGTTTTTATAAAGCAACCCAGAAGTGAAATGAGTAATCGATTAACAATCGCTATATTCAATGATTTAAGCGCAGTTTTCTGCGCCGGAGTGAACTCGCTTATGTCATGACATATAATAGTCCTACAAAAAACTTAAGTGATAACCAGTTAAAAACATTCCGTGACTAACAGGTGGTTAACACCTCAGAGATTGAAGCCAATTTTCCGGTTGAGTTTTTGGCAGCACTTATAGCGGTTGCATTGTTTTTTTTTGCCTTGTTTTTGCATTGTTTTTTTCTTGATTTGTTTAATTGCAATAATTGGATCAGTCTAAGACGCTAGGAAATTACCGCACCTACCCCTCCCTTAAACCGACATTTTGCCCCAATTAAGAACTCAGTATTAACGTTGGATTAGGGGAGGGGTAGGTGGAAAGTTAGCTAATAATAATATGACTTTGTTTTAAGGCACGGTTCACTCAGGAGCACAAACTATCGTTAGGTCACGTAAATGACAAAAGCTCCAGTCAACAAAAATTCAACGAAATGAAAGATAAAGCAGAGTTTATTTCTCCTTCGATTTACGCCGACCAAGTCATAACGAAGATTAATGTTAAGCTCAAAAATATTATTTTTGTAACAACAAGACGGAAAGCACTGTAAGCAAAGCAAGCGCCTTACAGTAATCGGTTTAAAAAATAAAAAAAATTGTCAAAGGGAGACGGACGACATACTTCTCTCGAAAAAGAGCGAGCGCTTCAACGTCGACAAATTCTTCGTCAAATTTCGCGCTCGTGGGGAAATTCAAGACCCAGGTAGAACGAAAAACCTTCATTTTCTTTTTGAAACTTTGCACCAGTTTTTAGTGACTCGTAGCTTCTCAGTGGACGAAAATCTCCACTACCATCACTCCTTCTAGAAACAAATTTATCTCCAAATTGTTGTTCTTACTTTGCCTATTCCGGAATACGAATACTTCGCCATATGATACGCTCTTTCTTTGTTGAGTCTGCGGATCAAAAGTAACGAGCAGCACTTTCCTACTGTACAGTTCGCTTTGTAATTTTCTCATATGAAAATCCCTTGAATTTATCCAATTTGTAGTCTGTTACTCGAGGAAAACAGCGCTTAGTTTAGGGGCGTCATGGCGGCTGAGATAATAAACTTAGACTTACTTTGAAGAAGTCTGTTATGACTATCGTGCGAAAATTTATTTCTGTAATTTTGTGAGCCACAAAGATGAAAGATTCATTGACCAATCGACAAATGCAAACCAAATTTCTTAAAAAACACTTGTTCGATCGAGCACTTAAAGTCACATGCGTTTTTTAATTCTCTTTCAAAAAAGAAAATGTTCGCGTTGACTTTTTACTACACTATCGTAAACGCTCTTGAACTGGAAGCGCAAATCACGTACAAGATTTATTTTCAATGGCATGGCAAACTTGCCGGTCTTTTAAAACATAAAAACCCCTGCTAATTAAATGCCTTGTGGTCAAAATCTATTGTTGGATTTTCTAAAAACGTTTCCAAACGCAACAGGATTATTTATAGATTTAAGTGAAAACGCAAAATCCTCTTTGGTTATATATCTCATTAGTTATATTCCAATTCGGGACATCCAAATTTGTGAAATCCAGGAGACATATGTACAAAAACATTGCTCCACTTTTCTGCACCTCTGACGGCCCCATAAGACAAAAATAACTTACGACGTAATTTCATGGAAAAAACAATAACTGTATGTTTTCACAAACAATATATTTGTTTCAGTCATATCAATAAAGTTTGCTCTATGGTTTGCTTATGTTTTGGGTCGAAAGGCGAGACGGCCGGAAGGAGCTGGCCGGAGCCGCTCTTGATGCACAAGAAAATGGAACGAGTAATCGCTGAATGGTTGCGGAATGGTACAGCAGGTTCTAGAATTTCAGCTCCACAAAAAGACTGACACGCCCATTGTACACACAAAAGTTAGAAAAAGAACTATAAAAACATGAGTGAAACACAGCACTTCTGGGAAAAACCTTTCTATAGCTTTGATATGAATAGAAAGAATTTGGCGGATTACTTTCACCGAATAAACAGTTTAAAGCACCTTGCAGAGACGAATAGAAAAACTAGCAACAAAGCTCACAAGTGCTTATGCCGAGTCCTATGACTCCCGCATCAAAAGAACACCAAGGAAACGTACTACTTCGGTTGGCACAAAAAATGTTCAATAGTTTTTACTCTGGTACAAACACGTTCATCTTTCTTACAAACAAGCAAAGCTTTTATGTCATTATCACTGGTTTTGAGTTAAAGTTTTACTGTTTGACAATTTTTAGCCTGATGAATTTCTTTAAAAGCAAACATCTCATAGCATGGTTAAAGACGCCATAACGGGAAAAACGCTTCTCGTTTTACTTACATCGCCGCACTGGAAGACCTAAAACCTTAGACTCAAAAGTTAAACTGGAATATAGATACAATATAGATACTGCTCTTCACGAGCGCAGCTTGGAGCTAGAAATAGTTTTGTTTTTTCTCTTTTACTTCTTCCGTTTTTTGCTTTCTTCGGTTCAGTGGTTGAGAGTCGATAAGCGGGGACCGAAATATTGCCAAGTGTCCTCAGTTAAGTTTTATCACACGACAAAAAAAACGCACCTGAGTGGAACGTGACCTAGTTTAATTTGTCTCAGAAGTTTCACGTGGCGTCAATCTATGTCTTATCAGATAAAGCACGAGACAGGATGTCAGAATCAAAGGAAGGAAACTACGTACGTACACTTCAGACAAAACGAGTAGTCGTATAATCTGGCGTACGAGATCCCCTGGTGTTTGGGGGCGTATTCGGTGTTCGTATAAAAACTACGACAGACAAAAACAAACTTAAGTGAAAAAGCGTAACGAAAAGCTTTTAAAACTATTTAAATTAGGCGTAAGGATCGAAGTAGTTTCTAGACAGTTTAGGAAAGAGGCGCGCTGAGCTCTCGAAGTTACTCGAAAACAAGTCCAGCGTCATCCTATTTATGGAACAATTATTTGCAAAACACAAAACACGCACGCTGTTAAATTCAATAATTGAGGAAAAGTTCCCTTCGTGCTCCATGACCATCAGAGAAACCTACACGTTCCCCACTTTCAAGGGCATTCGTTGGAATAACACCGTCACGGGTCAAAACATTACAAAAGATGTTCAATTCGCAACCTCAAAATGGAAGAGAAAATGAGGTATACGCGAGTGACTATATGGCTTACCGCCATGAGGTATATGACAAAATTATAAAACGAGCTTACCAGGATGAGATGTTCCAAAATGATCAACCGCTGTCTCGTACAGACTACGGACACGCTTTAAACTCAGCTCGTCCTGAGAAAACAAAAGATAACAGCAATTAATGCACTGAAAATCAGACAACCTGGTCGCCTTTAAATAGCCGTACAGTCCTTTGCCAGTAGAACATTGTCGAGGGGAAGGGAATAAATTTCCACCGCTACCTAACAGTCACACCTACATCAAGTGGACGATGCAATAGGTTTCTATTAATCGTTTCCCTTAAAGGGCTAATAGTACAGTTTGAAGTTTTGAGTTCGGGAACGAATTTCGTTACTGGGACAATAAAAATGAGGCATGCCCTTTGCAAGCCCTAACAATGATTACATTTGGGATTTCTCAAGTATTTTGCCTATTGGCAAGCACCCTTGGTACTGAAAGCCGGTTACTGGTCTACTTTACCTACCCACTGGACAGCCGCTATCTATCGCGTATTTAGAATTAAGAAGGGCAAAGACTGACACATAAGGGTGAGGTTAAAATGACATTAATGAGCTCACAGACAGTTGCGAAGCACTGCAGATTTCTTCAGCAGGGCTTTCTATGTGACAGTAGTTAAAAAAAAAAAAAAGATAAAAAGAAAGAGGAAACATTTTTTGCAACAACTTTGGTGTTTCTTTCTCACTCACCTGTTCGAGTTCCAGCTCGATGCATTTTTGAAAGAAGGAAATTTCCACGGGTGGTGTCTGACTGAGCCTACAGAAAAGAGAAGACAAAAAATTACTCAACAGAATATCTAACCTGTAATATTTTCATCGACTTAATTCTAGACCTCTAATCTATAGAGAAAACAAGATGAAATTAATGTCATTTTCACCCATCAGAAGCAAAGTTATCCATGTTTATCCAGGGATACAGGTTTTTGATCTATAGGTACCAAATTCACCCAATACATATTTTGCAACAGTTTGCCGTCATTTATATTGTTCATGGCCCCCTGTTTTGTTATATTTTAATTCGATGAACAAGCAAATCGGACGTGAATGTCATTACAAAGAGCGAGGCTCATCCCCCCGCGCTTCGTGTTCGCTGCAATCTCTGTCGTAAAAAAAAAATCAAATGAAAAACGGCCACCGAGAGTTGGTCCCTGCCTTTCTTTACTCCCTTTATTTGACTCTCTGTAAGACGGACACCTCTGTAAACCGGACACCTAGAGTTGGTTCCTGCCTTTATTTACTCCCTTTATTTGACTCTCTAGAAGACGGACACCTCTCTAAAACGGACACCTAGAGTTGGTTTCTGCCTTTCTTTACTCCCTTTATTTGACTCTCTATAAGACGGACACCTCTGTAAAACGGACACCTAATGTTGGTTCCTGCCTTTATTTACTCCCTTTATTTGACTCTCTATAAGACGGACAACTAGAGTTGGTCCCTGCCTTTCTTTACTCCCTTTATTTGACTCTCTGTAAGACGGACACCTCTGTAAACCGGACACCTAGAGTTGGTTCCTGCCTTTATTTACTCCCTTTATTTGACTCTCTATAAGACGGACACCTCTGTTAAACGGACACCTAGTGTTGGTCCCCATCTTTCTTTACTCCCTTTATTTGACTCTCTATAAGACGGACAACTAGAGTTGGTCCCAGCCTTTCTTTATTTCCTTTATTTGACTCTTTATATGATGGGCATCTCTCTAAGATGGACACTTAGTGCCCGTCCCAGAGGTGTCCGTCTTAGAGAGAGTTGACTGTAAACACAGAGCACGATAATCTTACCTTTTATAAAGTTTTCTGGCTTTCTTTATTCCTTTTGACTTCACTGTCCACTCAACATACTTTTCCTTCATTGGGGAACTCACGTCAACACAAGATTGCAACGAAGACTGAGAAGATTAAAACCGAAGATCAAAAGAGAAAAATAAAGAAAAGTGATTCTTTATTATGCAGTCCACTCTCTGTTTATGAACAATCCTATAAATCGGACTCCTTCTAGAGTTGGTCAGATATTTTGGTACTGATACACTGTCTACAGGTTGCCATTACGACAACTGATGGAGGATCATAAGGTTATTTCTATATTGAGATCTCTCCTTAAAGATAACCCACCCAGCCCGGGAAAGGACTGACTGCACTTATCGACCCAACATGACGGTGCACAATAAATGATTCTAACCGCACAAATAAAGTTATGTGTCAACAATTCTAAAAACACTTACTTCAAACACAGCCCTAACTTCATCTGGATTTTTCTCGATACACCAATCTAGCCAGAGATTCCACAGTGGCAGCGATTCCTTAACGAGAATAGAGATCCTCCCGTTAAAAAAGAGGAAAACCCTGTTCTTTTACAAGTTTTACAGGGAGCAAAAAAAAATATATATATATATATATAAAACCGCTTGATTTCCAGCTTGTCCTTAAAGTCTTACATTTTGCTTTACCGTGGTTACTACTTGCTTGTCTTGGTTAATTAATTAAGTACAAGATGACTTGTCCGGTCCTTTGCCCATTGCGCAAGCGAGCTTTTACTTGCCCAGGGAGGTGGAAAATCTGTCCCGGACGCCGGACACGACGAAACTTTCTTCGAGTCCTGGGTTTAAAGCCAGTCGCCCAGCTAGTATTTGTTCAGCTGCTATAAGCAGCACTACTTCTTCGGTCAAAAGTCAGTGTTTATTGATCAGGATAGAAGTTTCTATAGCCTACGAGTAAGCTCTCGCTCGCTTTCATTCATCCTCTTACCAGTCTTACTCCTATTTTAGCTGAGAAATTGACTTCAAAATTAAGTTTTTTGAAGTAGAATTCTATAATCAATAAGCAAAAGAGTTCTAAAAAGTCGTATTTCTTCTCAAACGTGTGATTGTGATGTTGTAGGGTACAAAAAACCTTGCGGTAAATCACTTATCTCTGGAGCGTGGTCTAGCCGTACAAACGTGAACCTCAAACCGCAAACCTGACGGCAAGGCCCTGGTCACGTGACTTCTTGACGTTCGCGGCTTGCGGGAAATGCCGATAAAAACCTCAATCTTAAGCTCTCTATTAAATCTGACCCTCCCCCGGTAATACGGCAACCCCGTTAATATGGCTAATTTTTTTGGACCCATAGGTGACCGTATTAACGGAGTCCCACTGTAGTTTAAAAAGACTTAGAGAGCAGGGTTTCCAATAATATTTGTTTACCTTAGGCTCCACATTTTTGATAGCAGAAGAAAATTGATTCTGAATGTCCGCGATTTTACCTGTAAATAAAGGGACAGATATTACCAAGAACAAAAACTGAAACCAAATAAACCAACCTAATTTAACACGGGTGCAGCCGAAAGTTATCACCCCACCATCGTAGAGGTCCAAGAGGACAGAAGATATCTTAACTGGCTTATATTAAAGCACTATCGAAAGATACCAGTTAGTTTAAAAATGAGCTGAGTGCTGTGGCCGTGAGCCTTATATATTAATAAAAGCTTTGTGATCCTGTTCATGTACATGGACAGTGAAATGAACAGTCAGACTATGACCAAAAAAATGGCGACCTTACATAGAAACTATTGAATGAAAAAATAACCCAAAGACTAAGTCGTTACCCTTATTTATAACTTTCAATCTCAGGTATTCACTCCATAAGCTCACTGATGAGTTAAACCGCTCAGTTCCTTTTTTACACACTGATAATGCTTGCTTCGTTTTATCTGTTTGAAGCAAAACACCAACCTGTAGAGATGTAAAAACATAAGAAATTTTAATATTTATGATGTCTTTCGAATGAGCGCCTGAGTCCCTAGCGGCAACCCGACCCACTGGGGTACCCACGGTACACTGGTTGTATCGTTTCTTGGAATTGACACCAAACTAAATATATGACTTACCCATGACCTGTAAAGTTCTTCTGTTAAATGGTTGTTGCTGTCTGCCGCTGTAAAAAGTTGTAACACAGTTTTTTCTCGCTGTGTAGCAAAAGAAAATAAAAAGCTTGTTATTTTTTGGGTATAATTTTCTCCGAGCTGAGGAAAACAATACTTAATGAACTAAAGGGCGAACGGAACAATAGTTCATTAAAGAAAAATTAGCTGCATGTTAACTTATAAGCGTACAGAACAAAAAAGTATAACCCTGTTATCTTAACCTATGGTATTTTAACCTTGCCAATATGTTAAATCAGTTTCCCTCGAGCCTGAAAAACGAAGGGAAATATCACGCGGAATTGTATCAACAAAGGGGACTGCGCTTTTAAACTGGCGCTTTTTAAGGCTGTCCGGTATCCGGATATTTTTGTCTTCTGTCCACACGTATTGGTGAATCCATACAACTTTTTGAATCCGCTCTCCAGTGCGGAAATTTTTGAATACGCTATGAATCAAGAATCGAGTGGACGCTGAATCCGGATATTCTTTTATCCAGTGACGTAACAAGATCGAGCCCAGGCCCCGGTTCCTGGAAAGCCGATTAAACTATCCTCCGATTAGCGTCAAATCCACGATTAATTTTCTATTCCACGGATAACTAATCGTGGGTTAAAAAGGAGTTCCTGAAAGCGAAATAAGCCCACGATTAGCTAATCCGAGATTAGTGTTAAAATAAACCGGTTTAACTAGTCTTTGGGATGATTGCTTTTAAAAAATATGGCGCGAAAAATGTTTAGGCACGGGTGAAGTAAAGGAAAATGGCGGAAAGTGAAGAGGTCTAGATCAATTTCGAAATCAATTTCTTGCTGTCGGAACTTTTTTTCACGTATTTGTGGCAACGGTAAGTCCGCCATTTTGTTTGTTTTTACAAACGTATTCCCCCGATTAGTGACTTAATCGACCTCGCTAGGTGGGTTAAAATTAACACTTGGTTTATTCCTAGATTAAGGTTAATCATACTTTCAGGAACAGAATCTAATCGTGGGACAAAATGTATTCGGCGATTAGCGAGATTTAATCCTGGATTAGTGCTAATCGGCTTTCCAGGACCCCCGGCCAGTTGTTTACCCTGAATATTCAAGATGGCGCCGAGCGCAATGTTATCTTTCTTTACTTCTTGGACTTTAGTTTCAAGTCTTCTAACGTGTGTGCAGTTAAACCTAGCTGTGATTACTGCACAATTCAGTTATGCCAAACGGCGGCATGCCATTCTGAGGCTTGATTCCATGTCGGACGGACAAATTGGAAGACGCAGTAAACAAGTTAAACGAGCGAACTAGTGCTTGGTGGGGCAATTTTGTCTGCAAAACAATAATTGAAGGAGAATGGCGAAAAAAGTTTTGCATCAGCCGAAGATCGCTTTACATATAATAGCTGACGAACTGAGAGTGAATCCCGATCAGAGGTGTGGCCGGGAAATTTTTGAATCCGCAAAGAAAAATTTGCCGGATACGCGTGGAAGGAGCCTAAAGGTCTTGCTATGTGTTTTAAATTTGGCAAAGCTTTGTTCCAACCACCACCGAAAAACACTCTAATGTCTTCTGAGCGCTACACAATTACACTGATTTCAAGCAAGAAAAAAAATTCACAACTGTACAAATGATTCATGTGGTTTTGTTCAGTTAATCAGTTTATGTAACAACATAACTATAATGGAAATTATGAGCTTACTCTTTTTGCTTCTTTTGTGGAACTATCACCCAGCAATTCCATAAAAGCTTTGATGTACAACTCCCACATTTTATCTGGTGACAAAACAACAAAAGTGAGTTACGGCCCTCAACACCTTGCCCCAACAACGCGTGAAATTGCGATGTTATAAGGGGCACTTAGGGCCTGTTTACATGAAGGTGGGAGACCCCAGGTAGGTGTGGTAGCATGTAGCGGGTTACCCCACTTAACATGTAAACGTGATCCCATCAAAATGAGAGATTATATGGACGGGCGGGTTACCCCACCTAAGCAGGTTACCTCACCTTCCTGGGGTCCCCCACCTCCATGTAAACAGGCCCTAAAGGACTGTCTTTCAGGGTTTTTTAACAGGACAAAAGGGCCGTTTAAAAGGGAAAAAATGAGACGCGTCTTACATAGGACGCTTCCTAAATAAGACTCAAACTATCCCGTATAAAGGGCACATTTCGTCTGAAATTTAGGTAAGACGCGTCTTATCTAAGAACAGCCCCTAAAACCTGTTCTTCGATAAGACGCGTCTTTGCTAAGTCGCGTCTTAATGTGCCGTTTATACGGGATAGTTTGCGTCTTATTTAGGACGCGTCTCTGAATGAAAGACGCGTCTTATTTTTCCTCGTATAAAAGGCCCTAATATCTCTTTCCTCCGCAGAGAGCTCTTTGTGTAGTAAGGAGGCTGGGAAGAGGGAAAAAGAAAGCGCGCGAAGGACGAGGGGAAGGGGAAAGAGAGCAAGAGAGGCTCCCGCCTTTTCCAATTCCCATCGTCCACCGCGCGCTTACTTTTTTCTAATCTTTACCCAAAGGAAGCCTCTGCGGAGAGAGAGAGAGAGAGAGTGAGAGAGGGAGAATATGTCAACGGTAACACAGGTTAAGCAAACACGCAAGAGCCGTTTCCCTTTCTAAGCGAGACATCTAAACCACGGTGGGAGTAACACGCACATGTACGCGTGTATAATACGACAAGATAACGAAGAATGCAAGAAATCATTTTAACCTGTTGGAACCTTCTCCACAGCATCCTGAAATAACTTGTTCATCTCTGCTTCCAGCTCACACCACTGACTATCTGTGAAAAATGATCCCGGCGTAGTTTTTTTTGCAGACTGCTGTGCTGCGCGCAACACTTAAACTACCTGTAGCGGTCATAGATACTTTCTTATCATTCACAATAACATCCTTGTTGCCACAATGGGACCTGCATCTACAACCATTATAATCTTGCTTGGTTGTAAGCATACTGTTGATTTTATCTTTGCAAAAATAGAAGTAGTGATGTAATAAGGTTTTTTACCTGATCACGTATGAGATTTATTTTGCACCGTTTTTATCTGCTTATAATTATCCTAATTAAATAAATGAGCAACTTTAAGCTATTGTTTGTCGTATACCGTCTGCCTTAAACACGATTAAAATCTCTCTATTTTTTTCGTCTGATGAAGCTAATCTAGAAAACATTTGATTATGTCTTTTGAAGCAAGTGAGAGTGTTTTTAGTTGGAATCAAAAACATTTTCTTGCTTTTAAGAAGCAAATTCAGTTTCGGCATCCTGACAATTAATTTTAGTTTGCGTGCTTAAACTGAAAGACAATTCCATCAGCAACAATGTCTTAGTCCTTAGCCAACCAGGGGTTCAATAGTTTCTCAATAGTTTTGCATCTAACATGATAAAACTATCAGTTAATGAAACAAAATGGAGTAGTTTGCTAGTCAGGTCACGCATTTTTATTCTTTATATTTTGATTTGAATATTTGATTTCGGGCCCGAAAAGTTACCGGGACTTTCGAGAAGTGGGCCCCAGATCCCGTAGCTCGAACAAAATATTATGCTTTTCCCATGTTTCGAAAATGGAGCCCTGCCAATGGATTTTTTTTTATACCATCATTAGGTGGGTTACAGTAAAAATAAAAAAGTCAAGTCTCATGGACTGGTGATCACATGACGTTATTTACAGATCATCAATGATATCGTACATGAAACCTCTGTTTGTGATCTTTGTTTTTAACGAGACGTGATAAGAAGTTAATTTCATAACTCAAAAAGAAACTTCATATGAAATATCTATTAATTAGGGAGAATTGGCATACGTACCGACTAGGCATAATGAAAGGTACATGCACCACATTCTTGTCTAACATACAGTACAGGTGAACAGTGGTAAGTTAGCAAATCTGCAAACCTGTTATTTCTGTCATTCCTTTCTTTACTTCACTTTTCCTTTCATCAATGGGTCGACGGGCCACTAAATTCCAGACTTCTTCTGACGAAGGAAAGTCCTCTACTAAGCTGCAAAGAATAAAACAAGATGTGAATCAGAGCCAATTTCAGTCGTGAGGCAGAGCTACAACTGTACTACTGCCAATAACGCAAGCATCTTTATAATCTACAACAGAGCTGCAATAAAAGTCAGTCATTGGACAATCCGACAATAAAAATTGCTTACTGTCCGACAAAAATGTTACATGTATCTGTCACTGGATATGAAGAACGGGCAAAGAATGTCATTTTCAAGCAAAAGATTTACATAGTACTTAACAAAATGAATAAGTCAATATACATGTACATGTAATGTATGTCTATAATAACTTTTCTAGTTTGCCCGCCTGAAATTTTCTCCTAAGTGGACATACATGTATGTCCTTCCTAGTAAGAAAAATTCATTTCATCCCTGCGAGGGGAATTCATGGAGAGTTCACCTGATAAAACTGGTGCAATTCTCTCCAGGGAAGGTAAATGAAGAAATAAGAAATGCAAAATATAGTCAAACTTTTACCTGTTATACACCAAATCACAACTTTGTTTTGTATCTTCAAAGAGGCGATAAACTTCAATAAAAGACACTCTGAATTCTATATCATCTGCAAGTAAGAAAGTAAAAAAGTAATAATAATAAAATAAAATAACCAAAAATAAAGATTTAATTAATTACTTATGCAGCAGGAAGGTTTATGTTATAACTGTCCCTTAAACTACACAAAGTAATGGCCAAAAAATATATATACATTATCCATCATTATAAAAAAAACTACTAACTTATTTAGAAAATAAATAATGAAGAAAAAAAATGCATCACTCAGGTTTTATCTCTAAGTAATATTAATGATAAATGTAGCCTGTAAGATGAAACAAAAGCTGGATATTAAACACCTGTCTGTATGGAATAAGCCAGTAAGAATCTTAAACACTTCACATACCTGGTATACATTGAATTGCCTTTTGGTAAACTATTTCAGGAACTTTTCCAGCCAAGAACTCTGGACTCACTTTTTCTTCTTCCTGAGTGAAAAAAGGGTAAAATCAAATGAAACCCTGGAGTACTGTAACACAAAATGGGATGAAAAGAGGTAGATGAAATGATAAAATAATAATCTGTTACACTCTGACATGTACTATAAAAAAATAAGGGTTATAGGTTTATTCACAATTAATTAAAAACAAAAAATCAAATGCAAGATTTTTTTGTTTTTGCAGTTGCCCGCAAATACAATACAATCTGAACACATGAAATTGATTCTCTTTTTAAAATGTAAACTGTACATGTAGATGACGTACAGTGTATTTAATTACAGAAAAGTTTTGCCACGTGAAAATACCGGTAACTTAAATGCACTGTAAAAACTAATACGCCAACAAGTCAAAACAAAAGGAATTTCAGTCATGTTTTAGCAAGAGACTTACTCACTCAAAATAACAATAAACATTTAAATCCTTACATAAATCCCTTCAGTTTCAATTAAGGAATTTTGAAGATTGTACAAGAATTTACCAGTGACTCCTGTGTTTCTTCCTGGTCATCCAATCCCAGAATTTTTCTTCTTTTATGAATCTGAGAAATAATAATAATGATAATGATAATATAATGATAATGATAATGATAATGATAATAAAAGGAACTCAACATTTAGGAAAAAATATACTAAGCAAAGCAAAATAAAGCATAACACTAAAATTAAAGAAACAATAGAAAAAAACTTGCATTACATTATTGGAGGAGAAGGGTAAAATGTGAACTATGGACCTACTGTAAGTACATTACACATTCATTTTACACCAGTTTACTTACTTTTTCAACATGTAGAAGCTCCATTCTGAAATACTGAAATAAAAAGACCATGAATGTAATTAAAATTATCAAAAATTATTCTCTAATACACGTATGATACCTAAAAAATTGATGTTACCATCAAGGGTCGATGCGAAAAAATTAAAGCAGTTCTTATGAGTCCGGGACTCATTGTTGCTAATAAAACAGTCATTAATTGACAAGTGGAAAAAATTAACCCCTTGCCTACCAAGGACGTACACGTTCATATATATACAGTGTACATCATGTTTGAGGTCATTCAGCGACCCAGGCGTATAATTATATACATCCTGATTGACAAGAGACAAACGAAATCACCAACAGCCCAGTTGTTCGAGTTGTCTTGAATAAATGAACTCCGGTCGTCAAGAAATGGCTGCCGGTTGGTGGGTACACTTTGTATTTGACTCTGGTAGGCAGGGAGTTAAATATCCTGAGTGCAGATTTTGTTTTGGGAGACTTTAAAACAATAGTTGTAAACACTTGCAGTTTCATTAGTTCGACTTAAGGTCAGGAGGCTGACAATATTTTGCAGCCGCTTTTCAATGCTGCCTTGATGGGTCAGAACAGAGGAACATGCGTAGCCTTTACAGGCACCTCCTCAATAAAATGTAACTACCTGGTTATTTTTACGACCACATTCTTCCGGTCCAAACTTAAAATACACCCCTGGAGTCATTTTCTCATTATACAAAATTTAACAACCTTATCAATGCCTCTTTAATGGGAGAACAAAAGAGCCTAGTTAACTGCAAATACCCTGTTAGGTTAACTACACATACTGCTTGTACACTTGTACAACAATTATAATTATTATTATTATTAAGAGTTTTATTTACCTCCAGCCAAAGTTGTTTTGATGATGGGTTCACTCGAAGTCCTCTTTGTAACAAAGTTCTGCTGTTTGGAATGTTCTTGTTGTCTTCAAATTCCCACTTTGCAGCCATTATCCACAGGTCTTGATAAAATTAGCAATAGTAACAAAAATAGCACTTACTGCTATTTTAATTCAAATTCACTGGTACCTGAATTTTTTTAGTATACTTATACAGCACTGCTGTAGTTTTCTCACTTCCCAGTTTGATTTGTGACAGTGGAAGAGAGACTGAAGGGAAACAGTGTTTGAATCCTACGCACATGAACATCTAATGCTGACCTAAACAATGATTCTTATTATTCAATTCCATTAAGCACAGCTTGTGAGCTTTGCCGAATGGTCTTCCTCTGACAGCAAGTTCCCGGTGACATCAGGTGTCTAGGACTTAGTGTCTACCCCCAGTTCACATGCTCTCTGTGATGGTAATTACTGACATGTTGCATCAATAATTTGATATCATTATTATAAAGGGTTCTCAATAGGATTTGAAGGAGGTGTCTCTTCAACCTTAAGTAGGCGGATGTGACAAATGGAGGGGCTGTAAACTAGGGAGGAAAAAGCAGCAAATAGAATGCAAAGTAATTGGCTACAAATTCTAAAGTAGGCGGCGAGCAATCACCGGGTGCCGGATTCTATTGAGAACCCTTAAAAGCCTCAAAATTTTACCATGTCTATTTTGGCCTGAGAAAAAGGCCAATACTGGTTTCCCACAAAATGACGTCTGAAGAACAAATGCAGAAATTTCATACTGATTGCATGAGGCAAATTTTCAACCATGAGAAGTGCTAACCAGATCTGGGCCATAGTGATGTGTCATCAGTAAGTAATTTCTGTGGTCGTTCACACTTTTTTATGCTTTGGCAATGTCTTGTGCAACACATAATACCAGCATTTTGAATGAATTTCCTGTCAGTTCTGCTGCTACTACATGTACAGTGTACATGTACAGTGTACATGTATGTGTATTTATTTACCAATAAAACACTCACATGGCTGTCTGAAATTTCATCAGTGAAAATGCTACAGGTCAGAAATAAATATATGTTTAATAACTTTTTTTTAACCTTGGTTGATTCTCAATTTCCTTTGCCTTCTAGTCCTAGTTCATGAATAATTAGGAGTACATTTTTAGCTAAGAGACAAAGTAAATTGAGAATCAACCTAGGTTATTTTTACCTGAATTTGATCTTGACCTGAAACAAATCCATGCATGGGGCACTAGGCTATATATTTTTTAATGAAAAACACTAACTTGGATTGTTTGGGTGGTATTGCAGGACTCTGGCAAAAACTTTGCCAAGCATTTTTGTGCTTCCCTAAAAACAAAATAAAATACAGGTCTTGTAAGGCAGCAGGATAGTGAAGGCAAATTCAGCCCAGCATCCTTTAGTCTATACTGCACTTTGTTACGTACGATTAACCTCAGGTATATCTTTTTCACTACTGCCGGAGCAAGGACCAAATTATAACATTCAGGGACTTGGGAAATTTTGGCTTGTTTGATTGAAGGTTCAGATCAAGAAACAGCCTACACCTGTATTAGCATTGCACTTGAACAAATTAATGTGCGCAAGCCAATCACCAACCTGACTTTATAAAGAACAGAAATTCAACCCAGTTAGCAAGTTGTTTTATTGAAAGATTCATTAGCCTCAGTGGCCAGTCAGCAGTTCTCTATAATCCATGAAACTCACAATGTGCCCTGCTGTTTTTCTGTTCCATGGGAAAGAGACCTACACTGCATGAAGTTTAGCTTCACAACATTTTTGTTCTCTTTGATCGCTTTTGCCACTCTGTTATATTTTCAAGAAAGCACTACAGCCTTTAGTGAGCAATCAAGAAGCCAACTGTGTGCATTTACACGTACATTTGTTTTTTCAATTACTCAGAATGAATGCAAACAAATTATTATTATTATTATAATTTTACAAAAACACATACGATGCACATAGCTTACCATGTGCTTACAGAACTCAATGTACTGGATCCAAAGTTTGATGTCCCCCTAAAACAGAAAAAAAAAGAAACTTTTTGAGCAGATACATGTACATGTACAGTGTAGCATTTTTTTAAAAATGAAAATAAAATAACATAATGTGTTTTCAATAAAAAGTTGGTAGTTTTCTAATAATAATCATGTCATTTTGTGAATATTATGATACTCACCACAAACTTTTTTAATGCATTCTGCAAAAAAAGAAAAAATAAATACAAAATAAATAAATAAACAGATTAAAAATAGTTATGAGAGGGTCATACTAAAAATGAATATGTGTATGACTTTCCTGTTATCTAAATGTACTAAAATCCAATTAAGTCTGTTGTGGCTTATTCATCAAACATTTTCATGTCTCTAATTCTACTGGATTCTACAATGCACAGTTGTAAATATTTTTATTAAATTTGTGCATGTGTATGTTACAAGTCAAAATTAAATTCAGGGTTACATTTTTTAACCTAGGTTGATAATTCTCAAATTCCTTTGTCTCCTAGCCTCCTAGCCTTCATTCATTCATTATGCTACACTAGCCTGAATTTGCTGTCAACAGCAAGAAAGTCTTAGACAATTTAACCTGTGCTTCCTTAAGCACATTGTAAATTAAGTGCTGCACCCTTTAATATCATAAAAAAATAATGAACTACCTGAAAAAGTGTGTGAATTCTTTTCATAACAATTTGCTCCCCATGCAAGTTTCTTTTGATGCCAAGTCTCTAAATATCAAGGAAATAAATGATGCAAGAATTATGATTGTCTTCCACAGCCACTGGCATGGGACAATACGATGCAGTGTAAGGTTTAATAATACTTTAACTCTTAACATACATGTATGTATGCTTTGGTTCTTTTTTTCCCTTTACTTAAATATATTTCCTTTACTTTCAAATCATTATCACACAAATATAAAATAACCACTCCCAAAACATAATAAAAGGAAATTAAATTTAAACCAAAGATAAAATTGAAGGAGATTTTTTGGTAACAAAAACATTGCAGAAAATACCGGCACACATAATCTGCTACTGTTTTACATTGAACAATCCTTTTTGCATAAAAATTTAATGTAACTGTGAAATTCAATAGCATTTTGAAAAACTTTTACAGCTGAATACTGGAAAATTTCTTACCACTTTTCTTTTCTTCTTCAGCATATCTAAATTAATCTCATACTGCAAATTATCAGGGAGACAAAAAAATTATTGTGATTGTTAACTTACAGTACATACAAAATGTATACATTTAGATCACTGTTAGACAATAGTTTAGTACAGGTCCCCTCTCACAGTGCAGTACAAGGCTTGAAGTTTTGAATTAACTGATAGTACCACAATTATTATCATAATACCTATATAGGAAGCCTATAAGGAAGTTAGCTTTAGGACTTCAAGACATCCAACTTTTCATCTTATAATCCCTGGTAGAAATCCTACTCAGGATCCTAAGTAAGATCCTAAAGGATCCTGCTTGAGATCCTTAAGGATCATACAGGATCCAACAGGATCCTTACAGGATCCTATAGGATCCTAAACAGTATCCTACAGGATCTTAAGCAGGATCCTGTCCACTTCATAGGATCCTGCACAGGATCCTGCCCACTTCATAGGATCCTACACAGGATCCTGCCCACTTCATAGGATCTTACACAGAATCCTGTCCATTTTACAGGATCTTGCACAGGATCCTATCCACTTCACAGGATCTTACACAGGATCCTGCCCACTTCATAGGATCTTATACAGGATCCTGCCCACTTCATGGGATCTTAGACAAGATAATCCCTGATAATCCCAGGATATACATGTAACATTTTCATGAGATTTGTGAATTTGAAAGAAAAGCTGTCAGCCCTTTACCTAGATCACATGACTTTGAATTGTTTTTAAAATACCTCAGCCAAGGAATAGCCTTAAGTTAGTTATACTGTAGTTGTGCATATCAAGCACTAATCCAGCTGTACATTAACACTTAGGAAAAATGACTTTAAACAGTATACACGCATACCTGCATGTATCTAAGAAAGTCTGCCTTCTGAACAATTCTCTTCTGTAAGTGGTATTCATATTCACGCCTCTTTGTTATGATATTCCTGTGTAAAGGAACAAAGTGTATTTATATATATAAGAATGCTAAGGCAATCAGACAACTTGCCAGTTTGTGTATGAACTGCAGATTTCACCTAATAACATAAAATGTAATAATTGACTTTACATTTATATGAACATCATAATAAATTACATGTCTAGCCAAGGTAAAGATTAAGGTTTGTTTTTAAGGGAAGTCCACTCTATTCAGCTTGTTTACAGTCAATGCACTCAAACAAAAAGATAATAACTGTACAATTATTATTGTATAATTATTGGGAAGAAATATCCAAATAAACACACACTTTAACAGGATTATCAACGCTGACTGGTAGGAGGCAACCAGTTGGCTATTTTCATACGTGGACAAATGAATTTACTATGACCAAGAAACAGTTCCAACTTGTGGTTTGAGTGGAACCACCAGATTGCGAGTATGACATGATGACCACTCAGCCACGCTGCCTCGTGCCCCTTCCTCCAAAACTTCAAAATGGGTTTAAGGTGCAGTGTCTAGATCTCCGAGAGTAAGAGCTGCCTCAAAATCCAATAGAACAGTCTCTATCAAATGAAATCCAAAAGGCGTCCCGTATCAAATTTCTCCATACAGCATCAAGGAATAATCAAGGAAAGAAGTCAAGAGATTTTAAACAATGATAACCCATTCGCTGTAATGATCCTCTTACAGCTTCATTCAACTTATGCTATGAGAAATTTATGGAGGCTTGTCGATATACACGTAAAGGGGCAGCATCACCAAGGGCCGCACTGAACACTGGACTTGCGGTTCAGAGGCTGGATTTTTTTCTCAGAAGTCAAAAGTTCAAATTCTTCGCCACACTTGTAAATTACCAAGTGGGTAGTCTCCCACAAGTCAGGATTTATTACCCTGTTAAGTTTTGATTTAAATCATTTGTTTTAGGCATTTACTCAGCCACACTAGCATTAGTGCTGTAAACAATGCAGAGGGTAATATAGGATTATTATAATTGTTTTTATTCACGATGATATTGCGGCTTTAAGTGTTAAAGTTCCCACACACTGTAGTTGTATATGATCATCAAATCCTACTAACGCGACTACGAGACTAAGGATCTCCTGAGAGGTAAATTTACTCCTTTAGTCAATTTACCTTTCACTGGGACAGTTTTAACTGAATTAAAACTTAGATACTCCGGATCGCGTTAACAGTAAATTTACCCCAGTTATTTGTGGCTGGGTATTCTGAAGTTGCCCCTGTCTAAAGCTGCAAATGATAAATAAACTTAACTTAAAGAAATAGCTATCTTGTGATTGACCACGTTTCAAAACGCGTGAAAGGGGTTCGAAAAACTGCGTACCTTATTTCATCACTGGAGAAGACTCCCATTCTCTCCAGCTCCTCTAGTTCGGGCAGCATACTTTCCAAGTTTTGATGAACATTCTCTGCCATCTTGATTACACGTTAAAGAAGAGGTAAAGGTAAAAAGTCTGATACACTCCGTTATTAACGTCACCTAAACCGCCATATTGAAGTAGCGTCAATGGGGTAACTTCCGTGTTCGCCTACACGACGTAATAATCTATCAAGCAGCGGGAAAATACAAGCAGTAGTACTTGGTGTAAGACTGCCCAAAATCTCACTGCCCAGGTACAACCGCATGACAAACCAGGCGACAAGTTGCAATCCAACAGTATTAAACTGCGACTGTACAAAGACTTTTAAATACCCGCAGAGAATAGAGGAGATCCATAACAGCTCTTAGAATTCTTCCATTGGCGTTGTCAGGCGTATTTGCTTTAAAATAGCAAGTTTATCGACTGTAACTAATAGAAGCATGATCAGATTCCGGACTGGCAGTGGCAGACACTATCAAGTACAAAGATTATGGGGCCACAGAAAATCCCTGCTGAAAGGACGAAAAGATGATTCCAGCGCCTGTAAGAGTTTTTGAAAGGAGAACCAAAAGGTAGGACACCGCATCTATGTGACATGTTTGTAAGCGCTGGAAAGATCCCGGCTTGTTCAATCAATAGGCCACTTGCACTAAGAGATCACGTGACCAATGCTTCCTTTAAACAATGAGTTGGAATCTTGCTGATGCCAAAAATTGTTAGAGCACATTAAAATTATCTTACACCCGAAATTTGAGAGGAAACGCATTTAAGGGAGATGTTTTATGGGACTTTGATTTTTCCACAACTTAGTGTCATTTGTATTGGCCGCCAAGTTGGAGGGCATGCTCTTGCCCTCCAACATGGCGGCCAAAACTACTTTTTGCTTGTATCTTGTTCAACGTTTATAGTTACGCTCAGATGTGCTGTAAACGTTAGCACATCATCTTTTCAACATTTTCCGTGAAGTTTAAGTGCAAAATTTGTGTTCAGAGAGAGGTAATTCTTAGTTTTAAAAATCACATTTTGGTCACGTGACCATTTACGAACTTATTCATTTTAAGAAAATGGTGCGGGTTTGAAAAACCAAATCACCATTATTTTGTTTAAGATATGACCCACTTATCGTTTTTTGAGGGCAAAATCATATAACTTTCATTTTCATAAAAATGATGTCACATGACCTCTTAGTGCAAATGGCCTATTAAATCATGATCAATGAATGATCAAAATTGGTTTCAGTAAATTTCAAAATGATTGGCCTGTTTAATATTATTGAGATCCCGTTAGCGGAAAATTCAGCGAAGCGACCTGGCCTTGAAACAGCAACGTAACAGGGTGGCAAAGAGGTTTTCTGTGTCAGCATGATGCGTGATTGGACCCAAGTTAGCTGCGGAAGGTGTGATTGGGCATAGCAGGGTGATGAGTGAGGCCTGGTTCAGACGCCGTACTTTTCATGTGCCGAACTTAACTGAATAAGTTCAACTTTGGAGCGACACTTGCGTGACATCTGATTCAGACGGTGTACCGTGTGTCGAACCTAAGTTAAGTTCGACAAAAGTTCGACAGACTCTGTCGAACTTAACGCTTTTGCCGCACCAAACTAAAACTGCCGTACCAAATTGATTCAGACGCCGCTCTTTTGCCGTACTTAATTCATCAGTTAGGTTCGGCACATGAGTGGAGCGGTGTCTGAACCGGGCCTTATTTACTATTTTCACAAAGCGTGATGCTTGATTTTCCTTTGAAATTTCCGTGATGGTTAATATCATTTGAAACTAGAAGCAGAGACATCAAAAATATATAGTTATGACACCAACTCTTCCCTTTTTCCCGTTCCTCGACCCCTGATTTCCTCAGATCAAATTAATGATAACCGTAAAGTTGTTAAAATAGTTAGCATTTTACTTTAATTTTTCCATGATGTGTGATAGCTTAAAAAATAATTGGTGTGATGCATGATACTCTGTGTAGGTACCCTTCCCCCTTTGCTAACCTGACGTAAGACAGCTGAAGTGCTGACAAGAGACACAAAAATGGCTTGAAACTGCGACAGTGACAAAGAAAAGTGCAGATAAAATGGTAAAACACCAACAGGGGCATGGCTTTCTCCTCAATACGTGAAAAGAGGGATTTTGAAGACCAATGAAAGTGATTTCTGGAATACATATAACCTAGACCTGTAAGTATTTTTTATGGTTAAAATTAATAATAGTTATCTATTGCACACTGCATCCATTGTTGTACTGCAACCAGATTGGGGATAAATTTGGCTCCCTTCTCCTGTTTATCAAACCAGTGATGGTCTACTCCTCAATACTAATAAACTTGCTGAGAAGACCATCGCCAAACTTCAAAGGGATCTACTCAAGATACCTAACCGTTACGACCCAAAACTAGGCCCCAACTCAAAGGTTAGTTCTCGAGAAGTCTTTTTGCTAGACTGTCCAGGGGGGGTGCACACATAAAACGTTTCGACTGGTGAATATCCTGCCATGATGTACTGGTCACCTCCGAACCAATGTTCGAGGCCAATCTCGCCGAGGCGCCAGTCAGGTTCAACACCTTCGCCAACTGCATAAAATATAGGGCAGTGCAGTGTATTGGCGAGTCCAGCCCACATGGTCCATAATTTCCGACAGATAAGGTTAAAGTGATCGCACAGCCGGCACGAAACCCATAAAGAGTCTAGCCTGCGTGGCAGGTGCAAAAAGGGGAGGGAGATGGGGGAGGGAGGGAGAAAATCCCCCTCCTTTTGCCCTTCCTTCCTATCCCCTACCCCTTTCGATGCCTGCTATGCAGGCTATGAAGAGTCTCACCATTGTCCGTCCGTCTTCATCTCCTTTAGGTAACCCTTTAAACATGATTCAGTCGCCGAGGAAGTAAAGGGGGCATAAGATAAGATGAGAAGATGCTTTTTTTTAAGTGGCGCATACTCTTAGCTACATGGGTTAGTTAAAAAAGAAGACTTCGTCAGCTAATTCACAGGTATGCTACTGTAAATGAAACGTTGTAGCAACAAAAATTATTAAAACAATATAAAAGCTATTTACAATTAAAATTAAGTTATCATACATAAAATACTATTAAAAATTATTTACAAAATTGATTAAAAAGGCGATTCGTCGACGCTAAATTAATGACTGATTTTCTAACAGCTTTTTTGAACGTTTTAAAATCGGACGACACTATCAGGGGCGGATCTAGGGGAAGGGTGCAGGGGGTGCGCACCCCCCCCCCCCCCCCCGTAGGGGGGGCGCCCCCCCCCCCCCCGCTGAGATGACCTGCGGTTTTCTGATACAACTGGTATTCTGCAAAAAAAAACTGTGTGGTTTATTGGTGTTGAAGTAGAGCAAGAGATGAGTGCACCCCCTCCTAAAAAAAATCCGCCTGATACCGCTAGGAACTGAGTCCAAAGCGTGTTGTGTTGACCTTAAGCTCTTTTAAAATGTCCATCTTTCCTCTCAAGGCGTATGTTGTTTCTCGTAATGAGATTAACTCATTTAAGCTTTCCGGGTTCGTTTTATTATTTACGAGTTTAAAAACGGAACAGAGAATTTTACTCAATCTTTGCTCCATCAGTGTTCTTCTTAAAATGCTTAAGAAGTTCTTCATATGTAATTTGTTTGTCTCTAAAAACAAACCGAACTGCTCTTTCATTTACTTTCTCCAGTGTTTCAGCGACGTGCTTATCGAATTTCAACATATCGTCAACAGTAACTCCAAGCATCTGAAGCGCATCGCTATTTGGAATGATGTTATTTTCGCAGCGAAATTCCGGATTAACTTTCCTATAACTCATCACCATAGCCCTGGTATTTAGAGAGGTTTCTTTTCATGCCATTTTCCAAAAACCATTTATCTACGTATGATAACTCTGAGTTTATGGTTTCCTGGACTTATCGGCAAAGAAAATCTGTGTGTCATCTGCATAAGTCGATAGGTTACTACGCTTTATCACGTAAACAAGATCGTTCATAAATAACGTAAAATTCCGAAAATAAGCCCCTCCATGTATAAGCCCGTCCAAATATAGGCCCCCCAAACTCGTAACGCAAAAAACCCTCCGTTTAATCGCCCCTCAGAATATAAGCCCCCTGGGGCTTGTACTTGGAAATTGCCCTCAAATACAGAACAAAACAAAACAAAAACGGTAAATTTCCTTCCAACTATAAGCTAGCCCCATCACTTTTGAAACGCAAATTTCCCAGTCCGTACATAAGCCCCTTCGAATATAATCCCCTCCAAAAATAAGCCCCCTCAAAAAGGGTCTTTGAAAAATACATGTAGAAGCCCCGGGGCTTATTTTCGAAATTTTACGGTATGTTGAAGGGAACAGGGCCAAGTATGGATCCTTGGGGAATTCCAGTCGTTATATCCTTCCTTGTAGAATGAGCATTTCCAAGTTTCACCCGTTGCCTTCGATTAGAAAGATAGTCCTTAAGAAGGTCAATAATTTTGTCGTAAATATCAAATCATGCGGCTTTTGATAAATCCATTGAAACTATGCCGATTACCTCATGATTGTCAACTCTTGTTTCCATCGTTCTGTTAGACTAAAAATAGCAGTTTCACATCCATGGTGTTACCTATATGCAAACACATATCCTTGATACCCAGATCCGGCGTAGTTGCGCGAAACAAGTAACCACGCGTCAAATCCGCTCCCATGTCACGCGCGAGACCCAGGTAGCGCTCGATGCCTCGAATAGGGCAGATTTCTACTTGCGCATTTCTCCTTACACCAAACACGTTCAAATCCCCATCCCTAAGTGTCTTGCCCCAAATCTGGTTGAAAAGAAACCTATCATCGTTTGGGAAACGTAGAATTTCAGGAGCCTTAACCTATCCCAAATCTCCGGGTAGATCCCCACTAAAGAAGGCTAATTTAAAATATGCCTGATCGCGGGCTACCGCGAATCTGTCAATTGCTCTCTTGGCGTATCGTAACTTCCCGTCCAAATGTGAACGCAATTGCGTCAGCTTATCAACAAAGAACGGAATGGCCTGCTTAAGTGTTAACCGTGCCTGTAATTGTTCCGCCGTTACTAGCCTCAAGAGATCCTTTAGCGATTTATCCGCCGCTGGATTGCCTAGGCCTAGACGCTTGTCCCACTCACCATCCCGTCCAAGAGCGTGGAAGATGGCTTGTAGCTTACCAATATAAGAGGCTTAAGTCTTGTATGACAAACGTACTGTACATCCACAGTCATACTTTCCCTTTTGCCCAATATGTCTACAGTCATTACGGTGAATCTGGTTTTTTCCATCCTTGTCCGTAAAAACCAGGAACCGACAGATATCGCGCGGAGCAACAGTCGCTAGGGTTATATAGGCAGGGAGTGAACGGAGGAACATGTCGAACTCCTTTTTTAAGGAGTCCTTCTGCTTGGCATAGCCTGTTGCACGATCAAAATTCATTAAGTGCTGTAAACGTTGGTCGATTTTCTCGAGATCACCGGCAATCCTACGAATACTCTCCGTCGTATTGACTTTCCGCTTATAACCACGATGTTGGCAGAAACGGAAATCCTGATCGTTCGCATCGGAACACACTGGACATCTCATGGAGGGCGTGAAGGTCGACGTTTGAAACGGGGCTTAGATCTTATGATGCCCTAAGAATATTGTACTAAATCAAAAGTGCTAGTCTGCTCCGAATAGCTGGCCGTCTGCTTGCAGGAGCCTGAGCACGAGGAGTATGGTCTAGGGCCAGGTGGATAAAGGGACGAAAATAACGTTTCTCTGCCGATGCTTTTGACACTCACTTTCAGTAAAAGCATCTCTATTAAAAAACGTACCTATTAAAAGGATAACGTTATCTGCTCGTTAAAAAGCCACGGTGGTGCGCATAACTGTGAATGAACAACTGATACGAATGTCAGTAGCCTGCTTGGAGCCTGCGTGACAACCGTTTGAAAGGAAAGGGGCAGGAATTTGGGCGCGAGGGAGAAGGAATCACTCGCCCAAAATCCCCGGTTTTTCCCTTCCCTTTCGAACGCCTGCCACGCAGGCCCCACGCAGGCTACTGACATTCGTGACAGTTTTCAGTGTGCTTGTGTTATTTGAAGATAAGCAATCTTGCAATTTTGTACATTAACTGGTGGACTAATACCCTTTTTAAATGCTACGCCCTTCACAGGGCACTAAGGGCACTGACAAGATGCCCAACTTGCTCTTCGCCACTCCTACCTGACTTTTGACTGATCTTGCTCATTTTTCAGGATAACAATAAAAAGGGAAAAAAATTCAGGTTAGTGACGTGTATTTACAGTATTTAGTTTGATCCGTTTATACCTCGTTTAATATAAGACACGATTTTTATCTATTCCGGAAGTTCAAAACCGCTCCCCTACTGTTCAACCTATGCCCCTTGATCAGCTCCCTTTACTTCTATTGAGTAAAAGCAGTCCCCTGTGAAGTGTCAGTTTTTCACGACTGATTTTCGTGGTAGTACCAGCGAGTCAGATTTGCCCTTTTAAGAGCTGTCAACACTGAAATAACTCAGTAGCCTTGCTTACCATACGACTTGAAGAACGAAATGGCTAGACCCTCCTCCCTCCAGGCTTTGTGGCTTGTGGAGCTTTGACCTCAAGCGAATAATGCCGTCATCTATACGAAAGGGCCCCCCTTCTCGAATTGAACGAGGTGTGGCCTTTAAACACAATACGTTACTTTCCTTTCAAATAAAACTAAACGGGCAGTCAGTTCTTTCAAATCTGCGCGCATTTTATATCTGTTGTTAGCAAATGCACGACGTTTTCTGCGGGAAAAAAAAAAAAAGAAAGGTCTTCTTGCGCGCGGTTTTTAAAAGTACTGTTTCGTTGTTTCATAACGGAAAGTTGTGGCAACTTTACTTCCGACCCAAGAGTGCCCAAAACAATAGTCGCATGCAGTAACTCCAGTGAAAGTACTTCCCAAATGTTTGGATTTGTACTGCATTTGCGAATTTTATCTTAAATTGCTTGCAGATCCTATTTTATAGCGTCGGTATTTGCATAGTGTACTATGACCAAGCCGCAGGGAAGTTGACCGAGTTGATCGAAGTTGTTTTTCCACATGTCTTTGAAATCTGCTCTCACCCATAAACATGCTCAGTGCAAACATTCCGCTTGAATCAGCGATGTTTATTTCTCCACCCCCACGATCATCAAATTGGACGGCGGCGGTTCATAACCGAAGCAGGCATGTTGTAGTGTTTTTTGAAAGTTTGCGCTTGTGTAAGGGTCATTTATTTTTAGTGCCTTTCTTTTCCGATTGTTTACAATGGCTAACAAAAGAACAATGAGGAATATGAAAACTATTTTTCTGAAAGTTATTAGTGTTCAAATTAAAACTCGGTCAACTGCAAATTCCAAGGACAAAGGATGGAAACCATTAGTTCAGTTTTTGTAAGAACTTATTAAGCCCTTTTGTCATTGTTTTCCGCTGTTTGCATGTTTCGTACGAATTTTCTGGTTTATTTTTAACTTTAAGCTCTGCGGCCATTATTTGCTTTTCGAAAAAGCGGCGTAAATCCGACTGGAATAGCAGTAATACGCAAAGTAAGAGATAAGTGCTATCAAATTTAAACGATGTTAATTTGATCGATTCACTGCTATTCAAAACATGAGTGATTATTAAAATACTGAGTGAAGTAAACAAAACGTGACTAACGGCCCTTTTGAGAAGTAATATTTTGCCAATAACATAACGTTTTGTACATCAATATGTTTTTTATTGGCGACACTATAATACGTATATATAAAACTATAAGTAACTCACTCTCCAAATTACATACGTTTTCATCATATCAGTTACAATAAATTAACTTCATGGATTTCACTTTTTTTGTTAATCATATCATATCTCTTTGACTGGTGGACATAATCGGCGTCTTCGCGATTTAAGTTATCCTTTGATTGTCCTTTTCAATTCGTGACTGACCAGCGCCCGAACTGATTCTTTTTTTTTTTCGTCAGTGTATGTAGTTAATGTTTAAAGACAACTTTTCTAGCGTTGTTGATTTTAGCTGTAGTGGTTTGAGTTCGGCCGGAAACGCTACTCTCTATCTGCACGCCGATCTACGCGTGTCGGGCACGTTAGAAGTGTTTTTAAGGCGCTGATGGCTTTCTTAGGATAAGGTAAACTTAGGAGCTGTCTAATGAAGAAGCAAACGCGGAGGACATCGTTCAGTCATCACTGTTGTCGAACACCTCTTGAAATTCCTACATACACTGCACTAAGTCTATTTTGTACATTATGTAATTAATTTCTTGACACCGTGTTACTGAAAGCCCGTGAATGAGGTGCGAATTTGTTTATTTTTACCCAGGTATTCGATTAATTCAAGAAGCGTGCGCTGTACGTACTTTTTGTTCACTTAAGAAAGGGCTAATTAAAAAAGGAGCTAACCGTACCCGAAACAATAAGCGCACAGAAGATTTTTGCAACTCAATGTAGTTGTTTAAGTCCAAGTTCTTTGTATTTTTGTACCCTCACCTATACCTCTCTTAAAGTTTATCTGTAGAATTCGACTTGATTTTCAGCTACAACAGCCACCTCACTTGCGAGACCCGGGAAACCAAAAATGGACTGCTTACTAGACTCGTCATTGTAAGCACTTGCATTTACACTCTGAGATCACGGGGTGGTGAAATGGCAGCCACATGCAAGTAGTCTCCTTCCTTTGGGCGAATCTGTCAAGACAATGCCATCGCAGCACACCCACGTCCTTAGTACTGGAAATCCGGCACCTCATCCCAGAAGGAAACGAGCATGTGGCTTTCTTTGAGCATCGCCCGACATTAATGTGACGAGGCCAATAACGCACCCCTAGATCTTTCCATTTGGGAAGAACAGGGCAATGCGACACTTGCCATAGCCAGAGCTGAAGCTTTTTACTCGCCTTAGATCCAAGGTATCTTTTCATCCCGGGCATTTTGAAATTGAGGTTTTTTATTTCTTGCGGCATGCTTTGGACCAACATTTTTCGCACAAAGTCCTGTTGTCGGTCACCGTGAGTGGAACTGTAGTTGTTTTTCTTCATGAGGAGCTCCTCTTTGTTGATGGCGGTATTTACTTGATCGTAATCTTTGCCCAGTTTTTCTTTCAGCAAGGGTATGTCGAAGTCGCTTTCTATTGGGTCGCTGGGATAGCTCTTTGGTTCTGTTGGTATTCTGAGCTTAAGCTTGTCCCTTGCTGCACCGACAGGCTGCGGAGCTGGATCCGGTAGGAGAGGGTTCCAAGATTGCGCCTTGGAAGAAATTTGTAAAACACTGCTCAGAAAACAGGCAGCGAGAATCGTGGAAAAGCCCTGGAACCTGAAGTTACGCATTTCCACGAGACTGCTAGTGCACTGGGTAATTCAGTCTCTATATTGTCACTTGGTGGTCTTCTTTCCGCGTCGTGTTGCTAGTGGTGCGTGTAACTTGACTGGTGAAGCCAACTGTTAAGAGGTCCAACTCGAATGCTTCTTTAGTTCACTTGTCTGTCACTCCAGTTATCACACTGTTCCAAAATCAAGATCAGAAAATAAATACATTACATCCGACTATGATCGACCAGTATTTATTTAAGGGAGACGAATTGTCTAGTCGCTGTGATAGCAGCATTAAACTGGTTCGCCGAGAAGCGTGCGTTCTATCTCCGTCAGCCAACCTAAGCTGATATTGAGGTGAACACCATTTGATGCGTGTACAATTTGGCACATCGCGGAAATGTCCCACAGCTTTGCTGAGTTCTGTGGTTTCTAGAATTTTTTTTTTTAAAAGACGACTTTAACATACTTAGTAGCTGGCAGATGATTAACATGCAGTCTTGGCTATAGAGCTGGTTTCTTAATTCACCTTGCAATTTAGCGAATGTAGGGAAATTTCACTCGAATAGATTCTGTAGCTTTTGAAAATGAGATGAAACGAAACACATCCTTTGTGGTTAGCGAGTCGCCTTGTAATGAGACCGGTGAACAGTCATTTCTTTTTGACCTTAATGTACTAAGTGTTAATTGCTCGTAATGTTTCGGAACGTGTATTTTACTTAGAGTTAAACTCAGCAAGGAACAAGGACCTTATTTATCAGGTCAACTGGGGGCGGGGATTTAGTGAGCAGCCTCCAACAGCTTTTTACCCGGTTCAGCGATCTGCCTTATATGCATGGCTTCTCTTATCGTGTTCCCATCCTTGGCTATTGTTTTTGAAAATCCATTTATCCCCTAATACCCCTAATCCTTTTTTATCACGAAAAGTGACATTTATTAATACCATGCTAACTGATGTTTGCTCCCTGGCAAGAGTGGAGCCTTAACAATTTCTTTGTTGAAGAGTGCTGTTTGAATTAAGCTTTGTTAACGAAATTAATAAAGGGCTAATGAGTTTAAGAACCTTCTAACCTAGGGAACTGATACTTTTAAAAGTGGACAAGCCTTTCACCATTTTCAGGGCTAAGTGACGCCTGTTATCCGTCATGAAGGACTTAAGCTGTCAGCGTGCTTTTACTCCGATCCGCCTCATCGATAAAATGCTAATTATAAATTAATTGACCCACGAGCTGCAAAAAGCGTAAGAAGAATTTCATACACTTTTGGGGATTGATATTTCTGATAGGTGGAGAGTCTTTCGTGTGACATTGGATAACAGGCGCTGAAACATTCAGTGTGAGAGCACGTACATGTCAAACCTAAAATATTTCTACTAAGATTATTGGTTATTCTATTAAACTAGTTGTGTTTCAATCTCGCGCTTGGTTTGCTTAAGAATGAAGGTATTCGAAATGTCTCAAGTTAAACAGTATTTAACGGTTTTGGCCTTGTATTTTGCGATCAGCAAACAGCTTTTATTAAGTTAATCCCTCTTATTGCCACTTGTAAACCATTGCATCACGGAGATTCGCATGAGCCACGCTGTATTTCGGAAGTCCGGCGCATGTGGCGCAATGAAATCAGCTGCGCCGCGGGTTTGCTCCGTTTAATTGCGTGGCACCGTCATCTGTACTTTATGACGCAGCGCCAAAGGATGTTTTTTCCTTCCGCCCTATTCCAAAAACCTTGTTGTAATTTAAAAGTACTTACTCGTGTCTTTGTGGGTGGTAACGAGATAGTTAAATCAGTTACGAAGCTTTATGGTATCCGTTGGCGCCAACCAATTAAGTCTTAATTGTGTCTATTCTATTTGCTATAAAGTTTCCTGAAAGAATTTTCGTGCGATTGCTTTGTTTGCAGCTTTGAAACAAAGAAAACCGAAACTGTTTTCTTGTTAAGTTAATTTTACGTGTTTCTCGATTAATTTTAAGTGTTTTCGTTTCTTTCGTTTTTAATTTGAAAGTCCGCAAAGTACAGTGATCGAGAAAATCTGAAGAAAATAATGGACGTAAGAGAAAAGAAGGATAATTTTTGAATCGGCTTTGGTAGCAGCATGCAGTCAGCAGATTATCAGTACACTAGCTACTTGTCCTTGGTAGTGTTACATGAATCGAAAACTGTAGCAAGTTTTTCTTGGCAAGGAAATGAAATGACCCCTTTTTTTCACTAAGAACCTGCTGGTGTAAATGCGGATTTATGCTGTAGGATAAGGAAGACCTGTTGGACAGCAACAATTTATCATGAATGTAAATTATATTCCACAAGAGAGAGAAGATTTTTGCCGCTGATTTTTTGAATGGATATCCCCATGTGTAAGTGCTTTAAGTAGATCTCAAGGCTAAGAGTAAAAATGAACAAAACTCCTGTCATTTATATCCCAGATAACTGGTTCACTGGCGCGTGGGAAAAAACTTGTGCCGATGACCTTAAAATAATCCACTTTCGCGGTCATCCAGTTGACAAAAAAATCAAACATTCTTGTCTGCTCTCACGGATAACAAAATTTTTAATAGCGTAAACGAAATTGAGTGAAACAAACTTAGCTCCAAGAAGATCAGGAAATAGCTTCAGTTGGAAAGAGTACATTACTCAATCAGTTTGCTTTCTCGAAGAAGGTCTCCATTTACTCTGTTCTTTGGTAGTACTTCATATTATATCGCACGTGTTAGTTTAACGGTTAAGCGAAGGACCAATCTAAGTACAAGGGTTTTGTTGTTGTTTTGACTGTCTAAGCAAAATAAGGCGGCTTTAGATCCAACGCTTTAGATCCGTGTTCATTTACATGCGTGCAGAGCACCTTTTCTCGTCTTGCGAATATGACAAAAAGCGGAAGAGGTGTTTCGGCAAGTTACTTGGCGATTGAGGTACATGCTTTCGCCAAAAAAGCATGTTCTTGGTAATTGTGGGACGCTCACGTTCATTCAAAATGCTACTTGAAATACTAATTGAAAACTCTGTCGGCCTGGTGGACGAACCAGGGTTGCAAAGCATTGAACAAATGATTTCACCATATCTTTGGAGAAAAGGATTAGCTATAGAGTGCAGCCAATCAGCTAAATAGACTCAAAACAGTAAAACTCAAATGTCATCATATTCTTTTAGTAGTTTCCCAAACGGAATAATGCAGATTTTTCAATGGAACTTTCCGGTTTCCCCCGTGGAAAAAAAGCCCCAGGATGTTTTGATTACCTGTGTTGCCTCTATGCAGCCCAGTCCAGTATTTATCTGAATCCTTGATCTCTATGGTGTTTTCGTTCTGTTAATCGTTTGGTTCCTCTTAATTGTTGGTTGTTTTTCACTTGGAAGCAGGCCTAAACTCACCTTGCTTTATACCCTCCTTTTCAATTTGTCGGACACCGCTCCAGCTGTCGAAGGATGATAACATCGTGCTATTTATTTAGCTGAAAGATTTTGGGATAGGGAAAAGCCTATCATAGGATCATGATATGATGAGCCTGATTCAGCCAGAGATTTTAGCCAAAATCATGTCAATGCGTTTTAATCCGCGTTTGTCTGGAGTTTTAAAAAGGTGTGGTTACCGGTCCTAATATAACGGTCAGATTTCTGCACGGACATACAAGAAAGTTTGCAGTCCTCTGTGATTACTTTTGGTTAGATCTTACGAGGAATCTGTTTGGTCTTAACGTACTCTCAGGCACTCGGACTCTTTAATGAGTCATTCGTCTAAATTTATTTTCTCCTATATATACGATTAGATATACATTTTAATTAGGCACTGTAGTTTTTAGAGCTTGCGCTGGGGCCTAAAAGCTGTGAATATGACATCTATGAGCAAAAATATAAGTGAAACTAAAAGTGTAATTCTGTGATTTCTGAACTAAACATTATTGCTATTAGTAAAAGAAGCTGGGATTTAGATTTATGAACACATTTAAAAATGTGCTCATCGTCTTGTATTTATGCCGAGTCTGTATCAAACTAGTAAACCTTAAATGCTCTACTTGCCTCAATGATTTCTTAATCGATACAGCTGAACAAAGGTAAAAAAAATACTTAAGTACGACGACGACGACTTTAGAAATTTATGCCATGCATTGTTCCACAGCCTTAAGCCTCGCAGACTGTTTAAAGAAGCTACTTTTAGATCGAAAATGTACAACTCGACAACTATGCATTTGGGTCAACCATCTTAAAATTATACGCCACATTATTGTTTTGAATCTAAAAGAACTGCAAAGAGAAGTTAATTCATGATTTTACAAAGAGGATTAGCATAGCAATATCATCGGCTTCGAACTGAATGTCCGTCCACAAAGCTATATTTGAGCATTCCTCCGGCCAGCCCAAGGCCAAGTCGGCTTCTATGATCGGTTAAATGAGGTAAGTATAATTGTTGTGTGGGCAAATGCACGTTGGTCAATAAGTAAGGATAACACAGGAAAGATTTCAGCAAGGGGCATTTCACTGTTTGAAACGCCAGAATTTCATTTAGTATAAAACGTGCCAACCAGAAAACATAACCCTATGCATAGCTTATTCCTGAATCGTTTGACAAATTTGCTATTAATGGTTGTTTGATTTACTAGTATCTCTTTATTGAGGCGACTCTCTTTTTTTGATATTATGGTGGTTGAATTCATCATACGTTAGAAAACAAGAATAAACAAGTAGTCAACACAAAGCGAAGTGGATATTCTTTAATCCTGCTGAGTACACCACCTTTAATCCCTTACAGCGAAAGCCAGTAAGACTGAATAGCAGAGATTGAAACCCAAAAATACGTTTCGCGCTCGAACACTTGTGCCAAACACGCCCAACCCAACCAACTCTGGATTATTATGAAACATGTATTCTGTAAGCTTTTAAGACCGATTCCATCAGGAAATTGAGTAATTTTAATTTTCAGTGGACAAAAACCTTGTACCAGAATGATTTATACAGTATCGCATTCTTTTTTACATTTTTCAAGGGCTATAGATGTAATTAGTTACCTGTAATAAAACCAAAGAAAATATCTT